TTGTTGTGGTCTCATCATCGTCGCGTATTTAGTAGCTACAGTTTACTTCGCTTTATGTGTGTCATATACACTTACGCTGATGTGAATATTTCCACTATCACTCATAATATTGCTCACTGCCCGTGAATAGACAACATCCAAGTAAGGAGTGCATACTAACTATCGAACGATTTAAATACAGCACTCACTAAACTGTCATGTCTAATCACAAAGCTGGTAAACTTTTGCCCTTGCGACTCAACTTACATCAAGTAGAGTGCACCGTGCACTGCTCTGTTGCAAATAGTACAGCACAATGGCGGATCCAAAAGGTGGTGCATTCGAGGAGGGTAAAATGTATTAATTAAGATATGTGTTTGGGAAACATAAATTCCATCCAGAAATAAACAGAAAAACAACTTTAGAAATAAACTATATACAGGGTATTCAGTAAATAATGGTATCCCTTTTTAACAGATGATAGAAAAATTAATGTTAAGCAAAACGTTTCATGAGAACGTGGGGTCTCAAGGTCTTGGTTTCCGAGATATAGGGTGTTAAAGCATCCAGAAAAAAACGGAAAATTTTATATCTCCGAAAGTAGAAGAGATATGTTAACCAAACATGCACATTGGCACTGTAAGAACTACTACGATCAGTCAAAATATCAGGCTTCTAAATCGTCCATTGGCGGAGATATGGGTCACTAATGTCATAAATATGGTGAAGAAAGTTATATCACCCTGTACAATAATAAATTTAATGACATATCTCAATGTATTTTTCAATTGCAAAGAAAAAGTATCTCTTGGATTTTCTTCGTATGTGGTACCGTTTCTCCGCAAATTAACTTTTTTTATTTGTATATCGGCTCGATACTATTTTTGTACTTGAAAACTTAAAAAAAAGACAGTGATTTGAGAGAAACTATTAATTATTAGGTATTTGTTTTAAATTTTGTTACATGTTATTGGATTGTCTGATTTAACGCAACTGTTGCGTTAAAACAGACAATCCAATAACACCAAATATGTAACAAAATTTAAAACAAATACCTAATAATTAATAGTTTCTCTGATGATGGTGTAATAAACCGAGGCGTTATAAAAAAATAATAAAATTAGTTATATCTGACCGAAATTCCCAAAAAAAACTATCAGATATTATAAATTAATATATCGCGGTACTCTTAAAGAAAACCCTGGCATCTTGAAGTGAAAGAGAAATGCCACCAGCAATAAAAAAAGGAACAAAACTGAATGTATTTAAACAACATCGAATTAACAAATTTTTGATGTCAAGTGTCATACAATTGACATTGATTGCGTACTTGATTTTTCAAGTACAGATATATAATTGAGCCGATATACAAATAAAATAGATAATTTGCAACGAAACGGTACCACATACGAAAAAAATCCAAGAGATACTTTTTCTTTGCAATTGTAAAATACATTGAGATATGCTATCAAATTTATTATTGTACAGGGTGATACAACTTCCTTCACCATATTTATCATAATAATTATCCATATCACCGCCAGTGGACGCTTTAGAAGCCTGATATTTTGAATGATCGTTGTAGTTCATACAATGACAATGTACACTAAGTTTGGTTGACATATCTCTTCTACTTTCGTAGCTATCAAATTTCGTTCTTCAGCCGTTAAAAGGGATACCATTATTTACTGAACACCCTGTATATTACACTTTTATATGAGAAAATTGAACATTAGCATTGACTTTATTTCTGTTTTATGGTGTCATTTTCAATAAAATAAAAAAGAGAAAATTATTCTAGGAAATACGGCTCTGTAATTGGTATCTTATAAATTTGGTACAATATACAGCATTTCTAAATAAAATTTCTGTACCTGTATTATTTTTAACAAGCGGGTACCGGGACACTGTAAACTTTCTGAAACCATGGTTAGTTTTAAACAATAAATACTTTACTAGATCTCCAGAAATAAACTCCCACGCGGCGCGTCCTGGGCTCAGTTCTCTTAACAAAGGGTTCTTGCTTAAAGTCGTTAAAAGTTTGACAAATAAACACACGGAAGCTCGCTCGTCTGTTTATCTGTTTCTAGAAAGGTTTCCAGAATATATTTCACAGGATCGAAGGTATGAATTTGCCAGAAAATTTAAGGAATTTCTTATTGCGTTTCTAGGCGAATCTCGACGAACTATACCGGGTGTAAATGAAAAGTTGCTCACCCCCTCTATTTTAATTGTTTATAGAAATAAATTGATGAGATTTTAATGTGCCGTTGTACACATAAAATTGCATTAAAAGACAGTATTTTTTATGTAATTTTTATGCACTTCCGGTTTCGCCGGAAATTACCCCAACTTTCTTATCTTAAATGGAAAATCCTGTATATTTTTACATTTTTGGACTCTATGGTGAATTCTGAATATAACAGTATACATTTTCTTTGATTTTTTATTTCTTTTTTTTAACGAAAATTTTAATTTTTGATTTAGCGTGCTGTGATTTACACAAAATGTTTCTGACGAGGTTTCTTACTATTGCAATTGAATTACTAGTTTTATGGCAAATGCTTACATAGCAGCCTTCAAAAGTGAGAAAATCGGTTTTTATAAAAAATGCATATTTGTCATCTCAAAATAGCGGCTCATCACGGTATTTAGAAAGTACATCTTTTTACGATTACAGTGGTACCCCATAACTTAGCAATTCAATAAGAAATTTACAGTAGAAAAACCAAAATTCGTCTAAATAAATCGGTATTGTAATGTAATACACAAAACCCAACACGCAAAATAATGTGCTGCAAAAACAATTATCTCAAATAAAATTATTTGTTTAAAATATCTGTCGTGACTGGTACACTTAGTACACATATATAAAATTGCATTAGAAGACAGTATTGTCAATTTTTATGCACCTCCGGTTTCACCGGAAATTACCCCAACTTTTTTATTTTAAATGGAACACCCTATATATTTTTACATTTTTGGAATCTATGGTGAATTGCGACATTTTTCTTTGATTTTTTATTTATTTATTTTTTTTAACGAAAATTTTAATTCAAATTATTTAGTACACTGAGCTGATTCTGCGGTTGGCTCCTTGTGAAACATTATTAAATATTTTAAATATATGAAAGAAATTAGCTTTTTAATGTTTCAATAATATTTTATTAGAAACTCTACTCGTGTTTTGGCTCTTTACGCCTTTGTCAAGAGTACAGGGAATATTGAACAGTAAAATTTGTGTTCATTGCTTATATAACCACATCTGGTACCTACTATAAAACTATTGTAAAATATGTTTTTATAAGTTGAATATTACTTTATTTTTTAAATCTAAATTATTTTATTTAAAATATGGTGGCCGGTAAAAATTATTTTTAACAACCTTACTCATTTCTAATTGTTCCAATAGATCAAGTTTCTTTCCTTTCTTTTCCGAATGGAGTAATTTGACGTTATTTAAATCTATAAAATGACTGTTTTCAATACAATGTGTTGACATGCCCGTGCTATATACATTATTTACAATAGATTTCCTGTGTTCCTCGATTCGCTTTTTTTACATTTCGTCCAGTTTGTCCAATGTATATAGTATCACAGTCACTACATATTTAAAATAAAATAATTTAGATTTAAAAAATAAAGTAATAATTAACTTATAAAAACATATTTTACAATAGTTTTATAGTAGGTATTAGATGTGGTTCTATACGCAATGAACACAAATGTTACTGTTCAGTATTCCCTGTACTCTTGACAAAGGCCTTAAAAGCCGAAACACGTGTAGAGTTTCTAATCAAATATTTTTGAAACATTAAAAAGCAAATTTCTTTCATATATTCAAATTATTTATTTAAAATACTTGTTGTGAATAGTACACTTAAACTATGCTTACTGTAATACTAGTATAGCCATTGTTTACTTGATAACTATTTTGACAGCTATTTTAAACAAATAACTTTTAATTTAATTTAAGATAATTGTTTTCACGGCACACTACTTTGTTAATCGGGTTTTGTGAATTAAATTATACACGCTTAAAAAAATATATTTGAGCAACAAAAATTTATTTGTATATACGCAACTAAATTTTTGTCTGTATAAATATAATTTAAGTCTTGATATATCCTATAAATATAATTTAAGTCTTGATATATCCTATTTAATTTAAATTAATTTTAATTTAAACAAATTTATGCAAGAAAAATAATTTCCTTGATTCAAACAAACATTTTTAAGTGTGAAGACTTAAATTCTCTTTATACAAACAAAAATTTAGTTGCGTATATACAAAGAAATTTTTGTTGCTCCAAATATATTTTTTTTAAGTGTGTAATACTTATTTATTTAGAAGAATTATTTTCTACTGTGAAATCTTATAGATTTGCTAAGTTAAGGTTATCACTGTAATCGCAAAAAGATGTATTTTCTAAATGTCGTGAAAAGCCACCCTTTTAAGATTTGACAAATATGCAATTTTTAGAAAAACCGATTTTCTCACCTTTGAAGGTGCCTATGTAAGAGTATTTATCATAAAACAGTAATTCAATTTTTGCAATAATAAGAAACCCCGTTTTTGTAAATCACAGCACTCTAAATTAAAAATTAAAATACTGGTTAAAAAAGAAATAAATAAAAAATCAAAGAAAAATGTATACTGTTATATTCAGAATTTACCATACAGTCCAAAAATGTAAAGATATACAGGATATTTCATCTAAAATAAGAAAGTTTGGGCAACTTCCGGCAAAACCGGAAATGCCTAAAAATTGAAAATACTGTCTTCTAATGCAATTTTATGTGTATAACAACATATTAAAATGTCATCGAATTTATTTCTATAAACAATGTAAATTAAATCTAGCTCACCCCGAGCCAGGTTTCATTTACACCCAGTATATACACACCACATGTAGCACAATCCCCTGTATCCCTAAACTAACGTTGTGCGGGGACACACATTTAGAGACAACGGAATATTCGTGTAAAGCGAAAGTAAACACTCTCACAGTTAATTCCAGTGTCATGACCGGGAATCGAACCCGGAACTTCTTGGTTAGAACCCAACTATGTTACCTCTCAACCATCAGTCATATACGACGAAAAAACACGATTTAAGCAAAAAAGATATATTTGTATAGCAACGACAGTTTTTATGATAAGGATTTCAGATTTCGTACACACGTTTCTGATGACAAGAAAATGGATGAGTTCATTGACGTGTAAAATAGGCCTGCTAGTCTACGAGGGCTGATTTTTTTTATTTTTTACTTTACAAAAGAAGTTCTAAAGAACTTAATAATTATAATTTTTATATATTCATACATTCTTCTTGCCAACTATTTTTTTATACAAATATTATAAAAATATGTAATTAATAAAAAATGATTTATTATATTTCATATGGTACCGGAGTATAATTCACGAAGATCCTTAATAACAAATTTGGATGAATATAATTTAACAGATTCATTTAATACCGTTTTTTTTTATTTAAGCAAACTTTTTCAAGGATGGTAATAAAATTTGGGTTTGGAAGCTTTTAACTGTCACTATTAAAATATAAGCACAGTTGTATTCATTAAAAAAGCGTACGAGCATTAAAATTAAACGCGAGCTTTGTCATGCTTGTGTAAAAACGGCTTTGCATATGTCATAGATTTCACATGTAATAGGCTAAGTTCGAGAATGATATAATTTTTACTGGAGTATGACTTCTTTCCTTTCTAAAGAGTTAATGTAGACAAGGATACAATGACACTCTGGGTTACACGTTGGTTATTTTCGAACGGGCTCATAGATTTTGACAACCTATGACGTGTGATAACCTCCAATAAACAAGCATTTACGTTAGCCGGTTTTACACATACGTATAACTGAAAAAGTAAAAATTATTATTCGATTGTACTGAAAAGTGACATTTTTTTGGTTCGAATATCTGGACGAAAAAAATCACCTTTTTATAATAGGTATTACTTTTTGTTATGATTGCTAGGCGATTACTTTCGAGGCCGAAAAATACTTTTCGTGCTAATTTAAATGAGTAAAAGAACTACTGTTTAAGTTTGAGGTATGAAAATGGCCCTTACCTTTTCATCTTTACATTTTTCATTTCATCATTTATCAAAGATTAACACTTCCTTGCTCCATTTTTTATACAATATTGAGCTCTTTCAAATTAAATAACGTCATAAAAAATAAAATGATAGTTTCGTAGTTAAGCTATCAAGATACGAACTTTGACACCACAAACGAAAATTGGGTTATTAACTAAAAAATAGCAATTTTTTAAATTAATGCTCTAATGCGCATGCAAGGTAGATGATGTTACGATAAATATACTAATACATTTTATTATTAATTTTTCGTCAAGCTGACAGTTCATTATTTTTGTCCAGAATAGCGTTTTTTGAAATCAACCTCTTTATGTAGATGATTATTATTAAATACCTACTTCTTTTGGGTAAAAATTCAGTATATATTCTGAATCCTGAAATTAAATCTTGATTTATACCCGCTATAATTCATGTTTATATACGCCACTGATAATGAACCAAACATGCAGTCCTTGGTCTCCCCGGTAATCAAGAGAAACATGTGTCTGGATTAATTGGGCTTTGCAGAGAGTTGAAAAAAGTTACTTAGCATGTATTTTACGTATGAAATATGAAGATACGACAAAAAATTGTATTCCTTATCAAAATTATAGTTAATTTAATATTAAGAAAAGAGTAAACAGGGAGGTAAGGGCCTGAAAACTGTTAATATCTAAATTGAAATGGCGAGCGGTTTTTTCAGCATAATCTAATTTAGGTCAAAATTAAAAAAGTTTTCCTCCAAAATGTTTGCGGTAAATTCGATCAGAAAGGGTAACCTTACTGTACATATATCATGTAAATGACACGTAATCGTATAAAACTTTGCATAATAATGTTTAAAAGTACGTTATGAATATATAATTAGTTAATGTTAAGTAATAAAACTTCATACACGCGAATTTTTTCTTGTAATGTGTTTGTAAATCAAACATGAACAATTAAAGTCAACGATTTTAAAAGGAATTTAGAAGTCATATTTATTTCACGTCGTGTTTCTTGCAGCGAATAATTCTTTAAAATTAATATTAATGTTATTCTTATTTGCCAACAAATACATTCGTTATCATATGAAGTGTAGCACTGAACATATATTAAATATACAGGGGGGGGCAATAGTGCGTCGAACCTCGATATCTCGAGTTCTACGATAGCTAGAAATTTTTTAAAAAATTGCAAGTAAACTAGATAAAAAAGTCTATACCTGGAAATTATTTTCGAACATACAGGGCGGGCCAAGACGAAATTACGGGACCAAGTGCCTTTTTTTTTTAAATGGAATGCTATGTATGTCAGTACAATTTTTGAAGCCTCTTTCTAGGCTCTATTCATTCCTATATTATTATTGGCTATCTACCAACCACTTTGATGTAATGTATTTCTTTGTTGAAATAATGCCACCTGCAGATGGATATTAAAAAAATCACCACAGTCACAATTATGGGCTTAATCAAAATGGCCAACATGTGGAACATTTATTATAATTTTTCTACTGAGTTATTTGAAGAAACCTCTTTTTTTAAGTTTATTTTTGAATGTTGTAATTATTGCTCAATAAAACGAAAATGGTTGCAATTAGCCATCGGGAAGTACTTACAAAAAATGTTCGTTTTTCATTTCTACATCACATCGTCGAAAAATATACAGGGTGCTTCATTTGAAAAAATTGAGAAAATTCAATTTAAAAAGTTCTTAATTGAAAAATAAACACTTATTTATTTATAAAACGAAAATGGTTGCAATTAGCCATAAGGAAGTACTTACAAAAAAATGTTCGTTTTTCATTTCTACATCACATCCTCGAAAAATATACAGGGTGTTCCATTTGAAAAAATTGAGAAAATTCAATTTAAAAAGTTCTTAATTGAATACTAATTTTTGGCCACCCTGTACATTTTTAGGAAATCAAAAACATTAATTAGATGTCTCGTAACTGGTATTCACATAAGTTTTTCTTAAAACCCATAATTGTGACTGTGGTGATTTTTTTAATATCCATCTGCAGATGGCATTATTTCAACAAAAAAATTCATTACATCAAAGTGGTTGGGAGATAGCCAATAATAATATAGGAATGAATAGAGCCTAGAAAGAGGCTTCAAAAAATGTACTGATTTACATAGCATTCCATTTAAAAAAAGGCACTTGGTCTGTAATTTCGTCTTGGCTCGCCCTGTATGTTCGAAAATAATTTCCAGTTATAGACTTTTTTATCTAGTTTACTAGCAATTTTTTGAAAAATGTCTAGGTATCGTAGAACTCGAGATATCGAGGTCCGACGCATTATTGCCCCACCCTGTATAAGGTATGTAGATGTTACTTTTATTACATAAAATACCTATTTAGCGTTCAAAAATTTGGACGATAACATTTTTACATCATTGTGAGCAGTGCCTATTTAGGATTTTGTTAGTTTTGGAACTGTAAATACGTTATTATGGACAAATTGTACTCATTTACTGTTTCAAAATTAACAATATCCTACAATCGATGCTCTTTGACTAATATTTTTAAGGTTACTTACTATATTTGTTTACTTGTAATGTATAGATAGGCCCTATGGGTGGTCTCCTTACTGGTTTTACATGGGTGAGAGACAATCATCTGATTTAAAGTTTAATTATGCAAATTGCAATCAACTTAAAATCTTACTCTCCTTAATCTTTTTCCTGTTTAGAATCTAAATAGGAAAAAGATTTAAACTTTAGATATCTGACGCTTATTTTGTTTTATTTTTACACTATTCAGCAGGTCTGAGAACCCAATTACAGAATAGAAACAATACAAAAAAGAAATATAAGTATATGTACATTTAATCTATAAACATTGAAATTTAACAAGATAAATATTAAATATGAGTATACACAGAGACAACTAGAATAAGGAACATGCTCAAAGACAGAAAAAGTATAATAACATGGAACCAACCAAAAAGAAGCTAAGAGATAAGGCAACTATAATTTCATTTTTTTGATTGACCTAATCTTGCAGGATAAAATGTCGACTGCGCAGGTTAGAGAGTTATAATGTTTACACATCTTGTGCAGAGGATAATATTTTTTTATATTCATGCCGTTGGTAAATAAAAGATATTTCTCTCTCTTGCCCCATTTCTAGATGTGCTCCACTACTCTAGTACATGTCCTAGAGTAGTGGAGCATATCCACTATAGGGTTGAATCCCCCTACTTATTATTCGATTAACTTGGTCATTATGCAGCAATTAAAATGTGTTAAATAACATAAAGTAGATGTCAACATTGCATAGTGAAATTTTAATGTGTAACGTGATGTTAGTTTTAACTTATAACCTCAACTTACTGGCATAAGTCTTGAGAAAGAAAATAAAATATTTTCGAAAGCTTGGCAAAGTAGAAAAGAGTATTCTTTATTAACCCAACAAAATTTGGACCGCATCCTCATTAATAAAAAATAAGCTGTTTATATATATATATTAATATATATATATATATATATATATATATATATATATATATATATATATATATATATATATATATATAAATAAAAAAAAAAAAAAAAAAAAAATAAATAGCTATGAAGGTGTTAGGCTATCAACAATATCATTGATAAATAAAACAAAAAAGAGAGGTCCTAATATCGACCCTTGGGGAACGCCCGAAATAGCAGAGACCACGACGTGAAAAATAAGATTTTAGAAACGTCAGGAAGTCTTGAGAGAAACCAAAGTTAATTAACTTATTTTCAATAGTATATCATGGTCAATTCTGTCAAAGGCCTTCGAGAAGTCAGTATAGATCACGTTGGCTTGGAATCCTTCATCGATAGCATCAGTTAAAAATTCAGTCATACAAAATAAGTTTGTTACAGTTGATCTGCCTTTAACAAAACCATATTAAGCCTCTGTAATCAAGTGTTGGCAATGAGAAAATGTGTGGTCAAATAATAGCATTTCAAAACATTTAGCAGAGTTACAGATTATGACAAATTGGACGATAGTTACCAATTTCTGACCGATCACCTCT